GTACAGAACTACATTTCTTTAAATGCAGTTCACACCTTCCAACTGCATGATTTAATTCATAGTCACAATACTTGCATCGGGTCCTATTTTGTTTAAAACCATCGGTTCTACCCAATTTGACAAAATGAAGCCAAATTTTTGATTTTGACATTTCAATGAATAAAATTAATTTATATTTTTTTTTGAAAATTTGTTCAATTATAATTGGATAGAATTGTCTATGTGACATTGCATGATTTAAAAAAAAATCATGCGCATTATGCGCATCATGCAATGCGCATTGCATTTTTTTTCATGCGCATGTCACATTTCTAGGATTGTTACAGATTAAAAATATATTTACTAAATATGTTAGATTATGTTTTATGTTGTTTAACTATTTATGCACAAGTACAAGAAGTGATAAAAAAGCATTTAACCAATGGGAGATATAGATCGCCAAGTTCAATTTGATCAATATTAAAAGGGAATCTTGGATAGATGAATTATTATTTAAAAAATAAATGGAATGGCGTTTGTAATTAATATTGTTGAAGGTTGAAAGAATTTTTAATTAGCACAATACACCATCATCACCCAGGTAGGTATACAAAGAAAGTGTGGGAGAACACAATAATCATCATTCATCATTCCAAGCCTTCAGGGGATAGATTCATTTATAAATATATTTGTAATGTGTCCATTGATAATAAATAATTCATTTGTTTTGACATCCAATTGTGTTGTAACATCTCAGTATTGCATGGTGATGCAATTTGATATCATTATATATAAAATTGTGGTTTAAAACTAAAATTTCCCTAGCCAGATGATATCACTAGCCACAGCAATAATAAATCCATTTAAAATTTCTTCCAAAAAAAATATTTTCATTGCAGTTTGTATACAGTCTAGCACAAAATTGTGGTTGTAGAGCTCAGTGTTGTCTGCCGCCACTATAAATCCAATGTAATAAACTGAAGTCACAGATGGACCATTCTTTCAATGCTATGAATGTGCCAAACATCCGAGCATTTGGATAGACCCGAAAAATAAACAATTGCCTAAATACAATTTCAATTAAATTAATTGTCATAAACCTTCTCTGAGATTTCCATTGGATATGCATCCTTCAGTGTTTTAAATCTATCTTTTGGTAGTGATGTTAGCTGCTAGAAAAATCTTAGCCAGATAACATAATAATTAATTAGAGTCCTTTAATTTCTGAGCCTTGGACACTGTTTATTGATATATTATTGCAAATTTTTTTTTATATCTTTACAAGTATATTTTGTATAAATATATAAACAAATGATTAATAATGATTTGAATTTTTGCAACAAAGACATTTTTTAATTTGATCCAAATTATTTAACAAATATTTTAAAGACAATAATAATAATGAATTAAACACAAACTACCATAAAAACAGTAATATTTATTTATTTTTTCTTTACTATTTTCAAAATTACCTGAGTTTGGCTTGTTTGATTCGATTTTTAGAGATGGATGTTACCACCAGCAATATTGAATTCTTTGGATTCAACAGTATTGCTTGGCAATCTAAATTGATTACCATCAAGAAAAAACCCTTATAAAAGTCATTGTCATATATACATGCTAATAAAATATAAGCAGAATGTGTGGAATATTTATCGGTACAGACCTTTCTTCAATTGTTTCTAAATATTCTAGTGTAAGCTCATAAATTGAGGTGACTTTACCACTTATGATTGCTGAAGCCCACACAGTTGCATGAAATCGAATCATATACTGTTGACAAAACTACTATGATTTTATGATCTAACAAACTGCAACTTTCATAGTTACTTTCTTTGGCACATTCCATTTTACATGTATATGCCTTAACAGCAATGGGTACTGATATATTTTCAAATACTACAGGTTCACTCAAATAATAAGAATATTAGTTGTCTCTGACACTTTAAATGTTCATATTTTGCTTGCAGATTTAACCCATTATAATTACAAGATCTAGCAATATTATTTGTTGCATTATCATTTATTGTTATAATATATTTAATGAATTTTCAATCTAAATGCTAACAAATAAATTATAACATAAATGAAGCATTTTGGTTCAAATTATAACAAATAAAGTTGGTGTTTGAAATTCTGCAACCTAAGATGCAACGTCTTGAGTTGCAACTATTTGCAGACTCTTATATTACTTATGTTTATAAATTCTGCAACTTCTTAGTCGCAGAGATTGAATAATTTTATTTACTTCCTGATAAACGTTGTTGGAGAGAATGGTTTCCAGATATTTTGTAAATATACAATTTTTAAATTTTTTTGATCAATAAGTATTGCAAATTTTTATTATGAATCAATTGAAAGATCCTCAATTATTTTTGGACAATAGGAATGGACCATGTTGTGAAAAAGCAATTTTGAGTTAATATGTACTCCTATTTTTGATATAGAACATTTTGGCTTAGAAACTATACCCACTTTTACTTAATAATAGATACATAGTAATAAATAAACTTGATAAGTCGGATATCAAAATCACCAGCCAAAATAATAATATACTGTTTTTACCAAGTCCGTTTCTTTTTTTTGTAAATAAATTTCAGTTTGCTGGTATTGCTGATTAAATTCTTGCCTGCATAGCAAGATTTTGTAAAATTCCTTTTTTGAATATACCAAACAAGTGGTTTACAAGTTCTATATGTTGTTGTTTTTTCAAAATATTAACCAACACTACGTCTTACATGTTAAACAGGTCTTTTTTTGAATAATTGTATTATTCTTTGATTTAGTTGAAATTGAACTCAAACGGGAATGTAAACCAGTATTATCCAAAACATCAGATGATAATAATCACGATCAAAAGGTCCGCACAATTATTAATACCAAATGGTTCATTATTGCTACTACTGCTGCTATTGGCTCACTGTTAATGTTATCACTTATACTATAATATTATATCTCTTTAATTCGCTGTCATTATTATTATCTTTTATTCTGCTACAAGTATTGTATTCTTTTTTGGCAAATGAATGGTAGGTTTTTTTTTGTAATGAAATGAACGTCAAAGAGGAAAAAATTTATTAGCCGGCTAAGCCGTTAAAAATTCCTTGGCGAGCTAAGCCGATAAATTTCTCAGCTGGTTGACATTACTATGTATCGCTTGAACTTTACCTGTTTTTTCTTCTTCCACTTCTAATATTAATGCAAGTAGCAACAAAAAGAATATCGCCACTTGATTTATTCAAAAATAATTCTCTAATGATAATAATAAAAAATATTTAAATGTATGTGCACCAAAGGTAGGATGACGTAGTAAATTATTCTTTGGAGAATTGGTTCATAAGTAATAAATAATCAAATAAATAAAATAATCAATATGATTTTACTACAAGTTTTGATGTTATAAGATTAAATTGAGCAAATCTGTTATAACCAATGAAAGGTGCAGAAGAGCTCTACCATTGGAAAAAGGTTTGTGGATTATTAAGAAATCTTGCTTTATTCACCAAGGATGATAAAGATTAAAGTAGTATTTGAGAAATTTTGTAGATTGAGCATTAATCAATTCATTTTTCATCATCATTTGTAAGGCATTTATTTGCATCATCCAGCTAAAAAAATTTCACACCACTTACATGCAAGATTTTTAGCTCCACCCTGTTTTTACATACCAGTTTCTCTAAAAAAGCCAATTTTAACTCATTTTTAATAATACCAGTTTAAATACAATTATCCGAGGTTCTTTCTTACTTATTTTAAAATTACAAAATGAAGATAATATTGCTAAAAAAACAATATTAATTATTTAAGAAGTTAGATTTCGAAATGGTTATATTAAGTCTTTATTGCTATCAAATTATTTATAATATTAACAAGAAAATACCTCAAGGGGAAAATTGTTAATGAAATTTCTTTAGAAGGCGTATAATTTAATTATTTAGTTACAGCCAAGGTTGAGCGACGAAAATAAATGTGATAAAAAATGATGAAATTGACAATAAAAATAAACTAAATATTAAAGTCCAAGATGTCAAATTTTAATTCATCAATTCCTTCTCCAATTAGCAGTTAAGTTGTTCTGCATTTTTCATATTTAAGGAGACTTTATGGGAAGAATCGTCAAAACCATTTGTAAATAATAATGATTCTTTTTATCTAAGAAAGAACTGACGAGAAAAGGATTAACAATAATAACAATGATCATGGATAACAATGATTTAGAATATTGTTATATATATGGATTATATTATTTTTTTTTTTTGAAGACAATGATAAAATGAATGAAGATATGGAGTCAGCAAATCATATACAGAAATTACTAATAACTCAGATTTTCGTCACCCAACCTTGGTTTCAGCCAAGATTTAAGATTTGATATATTGAGCATCATTCCAATAGTAAAATAAATTTGATCAATTTAATGATTTTAAATAACACGGAATTTTTAGTATGTTGTATGTGAAATTGAAATATTATGGAGTGGGTGAAATTCTGATTGGCTAATTTGAATTTCATATTAATATGTAAATTTGAATTTCACGTGTGTGAACTGCGAATTCACATAATTTCATTTTTATTTTCACGTACAACAGTTACAAATAGATTTTTTGTTTTGATGCTGCGCGCTCCATTTGTTCCGTTTCACTGCTTAATAATTAGCATTTTTTATCCAAATGAATCAAAATAAAAACAAAGCACCGCATAGTAGTTACAAAAAAGAAGCGTAATTTATATAAATGCCCATTAGCTTCCTAATAAAATCTATATCACAGATTTTCTTGTTAGCCTCGCTAACAAAAAAAGGAGAGATAAGATAAAGAAATATATACAACTAATAATTAAAGGTTGGCCAAACCATTAATCATTAGAAGAGTGGTTATGAAATAAATAAGTTTAAATGTGCTTTTATTTCAGTAAAGTTATATTTGAAAAGTTATCTATCCGAAAAACATGATTTTAACTCTAGTGAATTCAAAGTGTTTAGTTCACTAATTGTAAAAAGTTTAGCCATAATAGTAAAAGTACATCTCTATCATGAGAACAAAAAGACTAACAATTTACAAATAAAGAAGTAATAATATTAATAAGAAACTTCGAATTATTCTGATGGTAAAAGATTTCGTTAGTATTTCGCAATATTAATACAAATTAATTAAATACTTATTGATTAGTCAACTCACGAATACATTGTTTATAAATATTAGTAAAATAAGTTCTATGGGAGAACTTTATCATATTATTCGATATGAGCAATTATTTCCTCTTCCAAGGATCTATTCCTTCTCTATTCATTTTCTTTTTACTCCTTCTATACGCGACTGCATTCATTATTAACGAAAATTATAATTCTAAAGAGGGTGTGTACGATGCAATTTTTTACATATTCTTTACAATATTTATGTCATTCTGTTCAATCTTTCAGGAAAACTGGACCATCAAAAATGTTCTGTTGCCATTACTTGATGACATATTATACAACACAGTCACTTGGGTGATCTCGCTGATAGTTTCTTTTGCCTATGATTTGCCGAGTATAAAGATATTTTCAATGGTAAACATTCTAATTTGCGTAGTAGGAGCGAAAATTAAGAATAAAAAAGTTGGTGATGATTCCGATTCAAAATACTGTGAATGGAATGTCGTCAAAATTCATCAGATTCAAATTGTATGTTATTATTATTATGGTATATTATTTATAATTTACACATATAAGCGTTGGTTTCACCATAAGTTGATATTAATTTTGAATTTTGACTTTTGATTTTGATTTAGTTTTGACATACAGTATAACTTTTAATTTTAGTTTTTGATTTTTGTCTCGACCAACACTAATATATACACAATTACCGTGCAATTTATAAGGTTACATAAAGCAATGATATCCAGGGAATAATATGTTGGTGTGAGAAGCTTTTTTTGATTTTTAGGAATGTTTTACATCCTTTTCGTTGGATCCAGAAAAAATTAATATATAGAATTGTACAACCACAGAACTTTTGCTTTAAGACATCATGCACAAGTAAACTGT